CCCTAAGGCAGGAGCACCTGCATATGCACACGTGCCCAGTCAGAATGCTGCCTCTTCCCGCAGTCTGGCCACAAGTGTGAAGAAGTAACACGGAAGCAGGGATGATCAGGCAAGCAGGACTTCTTCCTGAGGCACATGTGTGGAAGAAGTGATTTTGGCTGAAGAGTCCGTGGGTCCTGTGTCAGGCAGTGAGTGCAGCTGCTGCTGCTTAGGTTACAGGACCTGCCCTGCAGTTACAGCCAGTATTTCTGTTTTCCAGCACACAGGAGTTTAGCTGTTACCCTAAATACCTGCCTGCACAATAAAACAGAAAAAAAAGAAAAAAAGAAAAAAAAAAGAGCTGTCTGGAAAGGATCCATAAGAAAAAATATTGCTCAGAATGTTGCTGATCTACTGCAGGTAAAGAGCTCTATGAGCAGGATAGCTGAGAAAGAAGTAAATGGGGCAGCCATGTTTTATGGCCTCTGTTGCCCCCTCCAGTCCTCTGGTAGCAGTTGGTGCTCTTTTGAAAACAACCACCTTGGGAAAGCTTGTACTGATAGTGTCTCAAGCTCAATTGTTTGACATGTGTCTGATCTACACTGGAAGTAAAAATTGGGGGTCAGAATTTCCTTTTTTTTTGTTATCTCCAGCTTTCCATCAGAAAAATAAAACCTGTAGAGGAGACAGACAGCTTTGCAAGAGCTGAAGCGAGCACTTAGAGTAACTCAGAGCAATAAGCTGGGAAGGGCCTCAGAGTATAAAATGCATCGGTAACTCTGCTTTCAGCAACGCGAGCACTTGCAGACTGTTTGCAGCAGTAAAACCTGGGAAGAAGCCCAGATCTCCCCTTAGTGGCAAGGAAGGCACAGTCTCCCTGCTGTACCCTGCCCTGGTTCACTTGACCCAGCCCTGTCCTGCTGCGTCACCCTCCCATCAAACGGGGCTCAGCCCCAGGAAGAAGCTGAAATGCATGGCTGTCATGCATTTTTAAAGCCACATCACTATATTAATAGCCAACAAATATCATCATTACCTATCACCCACTGATTATTTTCTCAGTCCAGCTAGATCAGGCACCTTTGGAATGGTAACTTCATACTCAGTGTCACTTTCCTGAGGAGACAATTTTAGAGGCAGAGCGGGAGCCAAGAGAACAGGGACTGTGTCCCAATGGTCCAGAGCAGGCTCAGAGCTTCATACCTGGATGAAACAAGCAAGGGGCAAGCTCTCCTAAAGATATTCCTGCTGCCTTTAAAGACACAATGGAAAATGCAGCAAAATGACACACTTAGCAACCCTTTAATGTCCAAAATAGATTTTTACACTCACTTCTTCCAAACACATTTTTAAAGCAAATGAAAATTTACCAAGCCAAAAGCCTTGTCTCTCCTACCTCGGGGAGCTTTGCTTTGTGTTCCCACTGTGCCTCAGGGACCACATGCAGAAAATCATGGCAGCTGCTGGACTGTGAAAACTTCAGGCATAAGTAGCAATACAGTGATGGCTGTGTTCATGTGCTCCACAACTGAGTATGGAATAGGATTTGGTTAGAAATTATCATATCTTTTCAAAGGATTTAGAAATTAAAAGACACAGCTCGGTCTCTTTGAAATAATAACTACGGAGCTGAGGCACTTTGACTTCAACGATGCTTTAAACAGGGAACTAGAAAGACCAGATGACAAATTTGCATATCAGAAACACATCTCCCTGACATGTGGAAAATCTTGGTTTGGCCAAGAGCCTTGCCCCATCCTGACACTCATACTCTCTCCCAAAAGTTGGGGGTTGCATTTCTTTCTTACTCACTTCAGATTTATCTTCTGCCACATCTCTTCCCGCCCTTGCTGTCTCCACAGGTCTGAGGGATTCTCGCCAAGATTCACATAATCAGCAATGACTCTGATGCAAAAAATGAATATTCATTATCTTAACTGCTGGCCACAAATAAGATTCATATCAGGTAGTTCTTTGTGATGACATAGATCCATGCAGAATGTAATACATTCGAGCATAGCTTCTACTGCGATCTGAGAATGTGGCCTGGAGATGATGAGCTTAAACAGATGAAATGTGGAGAAGTACGCCTGCTGAATGAGCGTTTTAGCATAGAGGGGTTTTAACTTGGTGCTAGAGGGATAGGATGATTGCCAGACTGATGGCAGAAGAAAATGGAATTTTAATTGATAACTGAACAAAGAATTAGAAGTAAATCTTCAATTCTAGTCTAACCAGGCTGACACTACTGTTCCACAGTAGAACAAAGCATTCGGGAAAAAAAGACTTTCAAGGAAACCTATAGCATTTTTTAAAATGGCCCTTGATGTTTAAAATGCATATAAATAATGAAAAAGATTTCAAAGATACGGTTGAATTGGCCCTCACATTCCTGTGGCTCTCTCTCAAACATGCAATTAAATAATTCCTGAAGTAAAAATGGTTATCTACATCAAAATTAGAGATGAAGTTTAACCAATAAATTGAATTATTTCTGAGTAGTGCAGATTCAAACATTTTACCATGTGCAACAGAGAATGGTAGAACACTGCAGCTTGTGCTCAACACACCAAATTCTACTCACTCAGAGAAGTGCGAGGACACTGCAGAACAGAGGAGGTCTCCTCTGAATGCTGCTGTTCCAGTCTTCTGGAGGAAGGACTGATTCCTGTTCATAGACTGGAGATGTTGAGTTTGTGCAGCTTATCATTAGTTATACACAGCTGGCATGTCTGATAATGCAATTTATCAATAATGTTAAGCTGGTGCAAGTACAGGCTGCTTTTTTCTTTTCTGTTTATATCACTCCTTATACAGCAGGTCAGATCAGAGAACTACCTGTAGCCCCTACCAGGCCTTTGTAGGAAAGCCAGTAAGACTCTAAGGGGCAACAGAGAAAGGGGCTGGCTGAGTTTTCAGCTGGATCAGTCCCCAGTTTGCCTCATAGTCTACCTGAGCGGCTATTGTTTCTAATATAGGCTCAGGGAGGAAGACTACAGGCAGCTCTGTGCACCCACGCTGAGATTTGAGCACAGAGCAAAGCCTGATGTAGGGAGCACTGACCTGGGGGCAGAAAGGGAACAGTTCCCCAGGCCTGGTGCTCACATCGGCACTGCGAGCTCCACTTGTGGACTGAGGTATGAGAGCAGCTTGAGGAAGAGATCTTTCTGTATATCATCTAAGATGGATACCGAATATAAAAAGATTCTTTGGTATTCTTAATTAACTAGAAGGAAAAAATAAAATGGGGGAAGAAGTCACACAGTCATAACACGTAGTGACATTGTCTTAAGGTGAAAACTATGTTTAAACAAGTGCTGCTGTTTAATTCATGTGCTGCAAGGACTTCCACTTTAGCCTGAAAACACCCAAATGTAAGGACTTACAGCAATAATCAGCTTTTAAAAATAGATAACTGAGCTTCACCAAGGCTGTTCCCAGGAGGCACAAGGCTGTGGATTTACACCAAAACTGATTCTAGAGTAAGGGAAACAGGAAAACAACAGCAGCAACAAATTCTCCTTGAAGAGAAGACATGACTCTATTAGAGTACTAACCTTTCCACCTGGGGAGTTTATCAAAAGGGGACAGAACTGTAAATTAAATGAGAAGAATAAATGATAAATTATGCTATTACAGAATTCTTTTACACTCTATTTTTCTTCAAAGTTCTCTTGAGAATGGCCACTGCTCCCAGATCCATGTGCAACGTGCCTTGTTAGAAATGCTTTGATACTATAATAAAAGGTGAATAGATGCTATGAAGGAGCACATCTGTGAAAGGTATTACAAATATAACTGAACTTGGATAGCAGAAAGGATCCAGAGGAACTGAATTAAACAAACAAAGGTTTTGCAGTGTGGTTTGGTAAACCACATAGAAGATACTAAAGACATCAGCCCAGAGCACGCAGTTATTATGATGTGGGACTAGAAAAGAGAGAATGGCTGGCAAACAGGAAAGAGAATAGAAACGCCAAGGACAGCATGAAGAAATCACATAGAACTGGCACTTTAGACAGGAAAGGGAAACTTTGATATTTCTGTAGCAAACAAGATGACAATTGCTACTGATTTTTAAATAGATTTGAAAATATTGCCTATAATGCTTTGGTCCATTTTACAAGGAGCATGTGATCTCAGCATTAAGCAGATATAACTTGAAAGCACCCTTAGTCTAACAGGCACAAGAAATGCCAAAGAAAAAGAGATATAAGTGAAGAGTTTCACCAGATTAAGGTATTCTGCCACTGGAAGATTCTCACTGGAGTGCACAGAGCCTGTCTCACAGTGGGGATCCTCGAGGCTCCTGAATTGAGTACGCTCTATGGTGAGTTGCAAAGAAAAACACTTGCCATTTTTCTGAATCATCTGCTATCTTGCAGTGAGCATTTTGAAACTGTTTCTTGCAACATATCAGGCACATACCAATGAGCACTCATTTTAATGGGAAGTCTGGAAGTCATCCCAGCTTCCACGAGCCCACTAGGACACAAGGTTGCCCTGGCTTGCACACCTTGAATGCTCATCACAACAAATTACTCTGTAATCTGTGCATCCCAGGAAAACTTTAGCAAGCATTTATCTACATTGTTTGGCTCTATTATATCAATGTGGCAGTAATGTTACCAGGCAACTTTTCCTTCAAGGGAAGTAAAGAGTGCAAGATGTTGAGAATAGTGCACAAATATTTAGCATGATCTTCCCAAACGCTAATAACATATATGGAAAAGCCCATGTGTTATGTGGAAGCAGAATAATCTGGCTTCAACAAGAGCTGGAATGGAAGGAGTGAAAAAAGAGTAGTAGTGAAGACTTAGGGAAACCTGAAATCTCAAATAACTCTAGTACTGGCAAAGAGTACAGCTGCCTCTATTCTCTAGACACTAGTCAAGGCATTTAACTTTGGTGTCGCTGATCATCAAGGTCAGCCAGCCACAGAACCCACATCAATAGCATTCATTCACAAGATATCTATTACCCCCTAGGTTCTTAACCAGGGCACAGAAAAGGTTCCATTTAAAAATCATTTTATTATTAACATAATCTTCCCATTTAGCCAAGTGTGGGTCATGAATAAGGAATGTCGGTAAATACTCCATTTGAGGTTCTTTTTACATATTTCCATTGATAAATAAACTCTGAATTCACATAAAAAAGTTAAACTTAAATAACTAATATATTTTTTGTAACAGGCATACATTGGTAAAATATAAATATTCTTGTACTCAGCCTTTGCTCTAAATAGAGAGAACAGTTAGCCACACATCACAGTTATTAACAACTAAAAACAAGAACTCAACTGATTCTCTGGCCTGGACTAAAATAGAGATGGAAACAGAAAATTCGCATTTTGACTTTGGGCCAAAAGAGGTTGAGAGGCAGGAAGAAAACAGTTTTCATAACAGCCTTGTTAAAAATAGTCTGCTCTGCCACTGAATTTTAACTTGGATATATTATTCTACGTTTGGTAGTTGATTCCATTATAATTTTATGTAACACTCAAGTATCACTAACAAAGTATGGCACATCTTTCAGGAACAATATAATGAACTTTCAAAACTACCAGGGTAAAAACATTGGCGATATGACTGATTTGGCTCTGGTTAGCCATTCTGTCCTCTCAGTTCAACAACAGAATGCATCATGACACTGTTTTGGCCACTTTCCCACAGAAGATGAGTTTGTTACCTGCTGCTCTAAGGATTTTCAAAACAATCAGTTACCAGGCAGCCTGAAACACTGGGTTTTCACACCCAGAAGTCAGACCAAAATAAGCTGGCCAAGGTATCCTCTCAAAGAACTCTCGGGATGATTGTAAAAGGGACAACAGGACTGCTGGCTTCAAGCTCCAGTGCTGTCAGGAAGCACTCAGTAGCAGCATCATCATTGCCTTGAGCCTGCAGCACCTCACCCAGGCCGTTCCAGACCTCGTGGGCCGTGGAGTTCACCTGCACAGCATCTCTGAGAATCTTCTCGGCCAAGCTGTAGCGCCCAAGCTGGTGAAGTATCAGTGCCTGCAAAAACACGGCAGAAAAATAGTCGAGACTGGTCACAGTGGGATAATGCTGAAGCTCAAATGATATGTTGCAGCAATTAAACAAACGCAGGTAGTGGATGGGTTCAGAGTGCTACAGACTATATATCATGTGCATCTTTTTCATTTAAAGACATGGAGCAGCTTGATGCAAGCTACTCAACAATAAGTGGCTTTGGACCAGAAACATTGGAATGCAAAAAACAAACTCTGAACAACAAAATCTGTTAATTTCTCCCTGTAAATCTGTCCCTCAAATCCTCACTCTGAAGTACAGATAATTAGAAAACACTCAAATTTTGTGCAAACCCTGAATTGTCCCCCATGCTTTTCTGGAATTCTGCTCACCAGGCTGGCTTTCAATCACAGACTGCCAGCTGCATCTTACAGAGCAGCAGAACAGACCATGCACCCCAAAACGACCACATAAGAGACACAGATACAGTTCGATAAGTAAATAAATAAATACAACAATGGCTAATTTGCCTAGCAGATATTCAGAAGCTACTACAGGTCTTCTCTGGTCATGGGTTTTTTGAGCTGTCAAGTGAGTCAGTATTTCCAGAGTGGGTGAAGAATATTTCCAATTAAAAAAAATCAGATAACTTTCAGAGATGGTATTTTTTCCCCACAGGAAAGCGATTACTAGTGACTGGTAGGTATCAGATGGGAAATTTCAAAAAATGAAGCAAGGACATGAAACCTATAAACATACATATGTACATGTATCCGTGTGTGGTTTGCATGCATTCAGTTAAGTATAACCATCCAACCTTAGAAACTTGAAAAGTGTTACTGACTTTCAACACTTGAATCTCTAATTCATTTTCCAAAATTATTTCTGGGGGGGGGGGTGCTGGGGGAGTGCTGATTTCATACTGATCAAATACGCAAATTGTTTGCAAATTATTTTTTTCTCTAAGTATACCAGACTATTTTCCCCACTTGCTGAAAATTAAGGGTTTTTTTTTCAAGACCAAAGGAAGCAACCAAATCTTACAGTTATAATACTGTTGACTGGAACAGAAGTAAGCTATGCTAAATCTAGTCAATTCTGTTTGGAAAAAAAAAGTGCAGTAGAGACTACCCAGCTAACAGAACATAAGTAAATAGTCGTTGCTTGATGGTTGCTATACTCTACTAAGAATATACACCATGTAGTACTTGTGAAGGAACTGTTATGGCTTGGACAGTCAGGTTGTGTATCCTCACGACTTAGAGGCCATAGCCTTTTAGAAGCTGACAACCAGACGTTCTCTGGCATGGAGAACAATGGATATCCTATCACTGTGATGATAGGAGGATTCCTACTCTAGGCTGCAGCATCCAGGTGACAAGCTTTGCATCCACAGAACAAATGAAGAGGAAATTAGACTCATTTCATGTAAAGCATCAAAAGGATAGCAACGTTTGGTCACTATCGCTGTGGTCTGAGCTCAAACAAGTGATCTAGAGAAAGAAGGCATCATATCCTCTGACTCACTGATTTGCTCCCCCAGAACGATGGTCAGATGTCATACACAGCCAGTGTCCAGCTTGTGTCTCCTTCCCAAATGGCTCCATTAAAATTCTGAGACACAGAATATTTTTGTCTGTGGTCTTTGCCTGGCTTTGCTCTATGAAGCAGCACACTGCTGGCAGTGGGAAAAGGAGCAGGCATGTCAATCATGCAGCAGCATCCTGCAGTGACCCTGCACCATCACCCAGCCAAGAACACTGATCTCCAGACTACCAGCTGTCAGCAAACACTTGCCCTCTGAACTCAACTCTTCAGCAAAAAAAAAAAAAAAAAAAAAAAAAGAAATAAAAACTCCTCTAAGATTTCCCAACAGTCAATACAGATTACAGTAGTCCTTAACTTGTAAATTTCCTTTGCTTTATAACTGGAACTAAAAACTCCAATCTACTAGTTGTGGCCATTACCCATATACAGACAACATTCATCTGCAGTGTAACGCTAGATCTCTCACTTAATGACTGGAGATGAGCTTGAGAAACACCCCAGCACTGCATAAGCTCCAAGTGACACATGGCTCACACCTGCAGACCTGGCATGGTACTTTAAAAATCACACATTTTAGTAGATAGAACCCACAGTGATTCTAGAACCTGAATCAATTAGAAAAGCTGTTATACAATCACTCTGGTAAATAATAAGAAATACTAGTAGGAAAAGCACCTACTCCATAAATACAGAACGAAAAGAGTAAATTACTCAAGAGTTACACAGATATGCCCACTATTTGTTCTCTGTACATTTTAAAATGCTACAGTGCTTCACAGGTTTTTAATGCGACTGTTGGCATTCTGCTAAGACAAAGCATCCCATTGCATCTCTTTCACATGAAAGTGATAAATTTACGACATTTGCTGTTAGCATACTGTTATAAAAGCCTCCACTTTGAGTGGGTTCCTTCAATTTGCAGTAGTTTGGCTTGCTGAATTTGCATGTTTTCTGACAATTTCTGGTGGCTGTTTTTGGCAAAAAAATAAACCCTTCCCTATATTTCTCTGCTAGCTAATTCTACATGCAGAGGTTGATTTTGTAATTCAAAAACAAATAGAAAATTTTCATCAGAAATTGCATAGACAAAAAAACATTTTTTGTTTGGTGTGCCACCATTGCACACCAAGTAGTGTTTCATGTCTGCTTCTGCAATTCATTGCCACTGTTCTCAGAAATTCATGGATTTCAGATTCTGCCTGCATTAGGAGAAGCCAATGGCCCTTTATCACACCCAGGCCATTGCTGAGGTTCAGAGACAGGAGTAACAAGGACAGTCCAATTTCAAGAGCATACAAGACCTGAGTTCCTAAAATATATATATATATTATTGTGTGCTGTTCATGATAGGGAAATACTTTAGTCACTGGAAAACAAGGTTCTACACAAGCTTCACATCAAAACAGAAAAAAAACCCACCAGGAATTAACAAAAATGAAGAAAAAGAAGTTCCAATTTTCTTCCCTGCCACAGGTTATTTTCAAGATCTTGCAGATCTTTCCTCATTTGATCTCAAGATGCAAAGCCTCCCTCTGTTTAATGATTTCACACGTGCTTGTTCCCTCTCTCAGCATCTTTATACCTCATTGCACATTGCCCCACATAAAGAACTGCTATTCTTTGCTCATTTCTCAAGAACATCTGTTTTCATAATGCTCAGCCAAACAGAGCCCAACCCTCACTGAGGGCCCTTAGCACTGTTGTCAAAACATAAGTCATTTGTTTTTACTCAATATCTCCTAGGTACCTGCACAAACATAGTCGTTAAAAACAGCTATTGAGTCTGAATATACAGAAATATCGTAATGTTCTATCCAAAACATTTGGATGAATAATCTTCATTTGTACTTATCTTGCATATATTATGGAACAGGGATTATATCTTCCGTGTTTTGGACAGCATCTGAGGGCTAATCCTGTTTAACGTTCTGATTAATGACATCACAAGAATGTTGATAAAGCTAAGAGGATACAATACAGAAACAACAGGCTGATCATGAGAACTGGAATAACAGAAATACAGCAGAAGTCATTAACAGCAAGTGGAAAATAACAGGGCAGCAACAAAACTGGTCTGCAGCATGGTGTAAGCCTATCAACTGCAAGTATCTCGGGAGAATGCCTGGCATAGATGAGGCAGCCATAGGATAATAGTGTGAAAAGGTGTCAGTGTGGAAGAGGGAAATGCAGGTGACATCAGGAGAGGTTTCCAGCAGATAGTACATAATGACAAGAAGACATCCTCTGGCACTTCGCGTCGTTCCTGTTCAACAGACATCAGTCAAACTAGAACAAGCATAGAGAATGACTATTGGGATGATCAGTAAAAATCTTAATTTACAAGAGAAGACTGGCAGACTTGGTTTGTTTAACCTGGCAAATCAAAAACTGAGAGATAAATTTACTTGTTATAAATACAGTAGAACAGAATAGAGAAAAACTATTTTAGTTAGAGAATAATGTTGGCAGAGGAATAAATGTGTAGAAATTGGCTGTGAGTAAGATTACCAAAAAAAGGTGTGAGCATTCCTGGCAATTGGAGCAGGGAGTTTTTGCAACGGCCTTCTGCTTGTAGCAGCAGGGTGTAAAACAATTCATGTTTGAGGTTGAACCTATGGAAAGGGCTTGCATGACCTGATGGTTGAGAAGGTGACTGCAAGCCCCCACTATTCCTGATCCAATATCAGGTTTTCCATCAACTGAATACCCACATTCCTTCTGGTCATTAGTGGAAAGTGAGACAATAATGGCATGCTTATATAATGTCATGACTTGATGCTTCCATTGTTTGAAGGACTTTCTCTTAATTTTTTGGGTTACACTGAAGAAGCAAATGCAGAGAAATATCCAATTAATAAATGCAAACATTAAAAGGCAAAATTATGGTAAAATACCCAACTTGCTTTTGAAGAAAACTGAAATGACACAATATTGTCTTTTGGGCACAGAAGGATGCACAATGGAATTTTCAAATGCACATAGCACAAGATGTTTAATTAAGCACTGACTTCAGTAGGACTAAATCTTCAGTCCACCTTGTTAACAATCAGCAAGACATTATGTACCCATCTGGCCCCTGCATAAACAATACAGCTTCAAAATCTGAGCTATGCAGATAGCAGTAGAAAACCAATCACAAAATTTAGTATACGCTTTAATAAGTCAAAATCATATTTTGACATGCCAAAATTATATTCTATATAGTCTTTTTCCCCCTTTCATTTTCAGTGCAGTGAAGTTATTTCTTATAAGGTAAGTATTTTTAAAAAGAAAAACATTCAAATTAATTCTAATTTTCCAATGCAGCTTGACACAATCTCCATGTAAAACCTTCAGTTAGCAAATGTACCATTATTATTAACAAAATATCACTCGGTCTGAACAACATGATACAATAAGCAATTGTATAAAGCTTAAATAAGCATGTAGTGAAGTCTTCACTGCAGGGAACCTTTTTTCAGCAAATAGGCTTTTTC